TGGGCAAAGTTATAGCTGAGCTAATTTAAAGCAACTTTGTACAAAACAACTTTTTTGTAAATCTTAAACTGACCGATTTAGAGCTATTTTCTTCAATTGAGTTAGGGTGGCTCTAAAAAAACAGTTGTTTTGCTCCTAGTTTTCTTATTTCGAATTTCTCAGCAAAGGTGTCTTAAAATAACTTTTAGATCTTAAGAAGCTTGTACAAAGCTTGTCAATATCTTTCGCCGATCAAAATTTATTGACGTTTTTATACTAAAAATATGCAATTTTCATATGTTAATATCTCTGGTTGGGGCAAACGAAAAACAAAGTTTTCTTACGGCATTTGAAAGGGCGTATGTTATTCTCAATAATATGAAAAAAAAAATGGAGGTATGTTATTTTTTAAACTCGCATAAAATCAATTTGCATTTATTCATATTTTTTATTATATTTGGGTACATATTTTTTATTAGAAGAGATACAGACAACAAATTTCGCTATAAAACATTCGTCTTAAAGAGTTTTAAAAGTCTCTAGAAGATGACTTTCATGAGAAATTTCAAATAAAAAAGTTATTGGCAAAAGATGGATTTCATAGGACCACTCTAATGACAAATTTAAATAAAATGTGCTAGTACATTTGTTTCAATAGTTGGACATTTAGTGTCTTCGAAGAAGTTTTATGTTCTTAAAAATTCCCTTCTTTTGGTGCTTGCAAACGTCAGGGTGGTCCTCAAATTAGGAAACAAAATAAAAACATGTGTTGTTTGAAAAAACTGGTGAACAACTTTGTCTATCTTTTAACTTTCTCATTTTAGAGTAATGATTTAATTTTTCGGAGTTAACTTAGGGTGTTCCTGGAAAAAATAGTTTTTTAGCACTAACTTTATTATTTGAAATTTCTCATGAAAGTCATCTTCTAGAGACTTTTCAAACTCTTTAAGACAAATGTTTTATAGCGAAATTTGTTGCCTGTATCTCTTCTAATAAAAAAGATATACCCAAATATAGTAAAAAATATGAATAAATTCAAATTGATTTTATACGAGTTTAAAAAATAACATACCTCCAATTTTTTCATATTATTGAGAATACTATACGTCCTTTCAAATGCCGTAAGAAAACTTTGTTTTTTGTTTGCCCCAACCAGAGATATTAACATATGAAAATTGCATATTTTTAGTATAAAAACGTCAATAACTTTTGATCGGCGAAAGATATTGACAAGCTTTGTACAAGCTTCTTAAGATCTAAAAGTTATTTGAAGACCCCTTTGCTGAGAAATTCGAAATAAGAAAACTAGGAGCAAAACAACTGTTTTTTTTTAGAGCCACCCTAACTCAATTCAAGAAAATAGCTCTGAATCGGCCAATTTAAGAGATACAAAAAAGTTGTTTTGTACAAAGTTGCTTCAACGTTGCCGAAGAATGTATACCATAATTTATTCAAACAAAAAAGGTAGATTTTTTATTTTAATGGTAATAGGAACCACCCTAGAATTCATTTTCATAAAAATGAGGGCTTAACTATAAGGAACAACTTTGTAGAAGAGACTTTTAGTCTAAAGTTTCAATTTCAGGCTCAAAACATATCATTCCACCTAAATCTGCATTCTGGACCACTGTATAATGCTTTTATTCCACGTTCTATTAAGCTCTTGTCAATCGATTTAACTGAGGTGCTATATAAGTTATCGTGGGTCTTATGGAGCATATAGCTAAACCAAATGCGTACAATTATTCAAAAGTGCTCCCCGCAAGTTTAAAAAAATTTTTTTGACCAAATGACAATACAACTGTTGCGCCGTGCAAGCTATAGGCCCTTTCGATAATAAAAGCCTACGCCCGGCTGACGCGACGCAGCTACATGCTACATTTTTACTGTCATGCAAAATCAAAACAAAAGCAAAAAGTTAAAAGCGTGCAATCGATTGATAAGTTCTAATTAAAGTTAACTATATTTCGTTTATTATTACTTTCAAAACTAAGATAAGTTGATTCCTAGTTCTTACATTATTCAACGTTTAAATTTCAGTTTAGAATAACAGATTTACCTGTTCTGAGTGTGTTTACATCGAAAAAAGCGGCAGCGGAAAAACCCGATCTGAGTGAGTCTACTTGTCGGATTGAAAACTAGTTAGAATCAAATCGACTTCGGTTAGGCAATTAGTGACAACTGTCAAACTTTCCGCTTCCGCCCACATTGCGTTTGGGCCTTTACTCTCACCCCAGACTGCATGGTAAATTTAACGAACATAATGTTAACATCAGCATCGCTTCCTATGTTATTAGCCGGATTACAATGATGTCACTATTTGCGTTTGCAATATTTACGAATACAGCAGCATTTGAAGGTTTGGGCTAGCTCCTTCCTGTGCTCATTGCTCCTTGTTGTCACATTTTGTCCACACGACGAAACAGAATGATACATTTTGTTTGATTAATCATCAATTGACTTCTCGAAGCAAGATCTCACTAATACAACCTGGCTAGTGTAGCCGCGAAAAATCGAGTTGTTTATTATTTTCAACCACGAAATCAGCTGTCAAAGCGTTTGACTTTACAGCGGTTTGTTTTTTTTTTCAACCAGTAAAACGAATATATTAGTGGAATTGCTTACTAATACTAACGGTGGCAGAGAAGTCTATGATTCAAAATTACACAAAAATGGATAACATTTATTCTTCATTATGAGTTGTCCCGTTTTTTTTTAAAGGATTCAACTTGAATCATTAATGTATCATTATGTTTCTCCGTGTACTTTGTTCGCAACCGAACTAAACTGAACTAAACACAAATTGACAGTGAGCAAGTGTGACGTTCATTTCCTCTTTGTTTTCGTTTGCTCGTTGCTATGCGCGCATTTTATTCAAAGAATAATTTGTGGCCGGCGATTTAATTGAATATTAAATATAAAGAAAATACCAAGCGTATTAAAAAAAAAAGAAAAAAAGATCGATCTACCAACGAACGATTATTTGGTACTGATTTAATCAGTGGATCGATTCTAGAGCCAAATATAAGATCGATCTTTCTCTGAAGATCGGTCAATCCTAGCTGTGTCCCAATTGGCGAGTTAAATTTAGCTCGTGGTTAAAAGTGCTGCTGGAAAGTTATCGTATTGAATAACCCTGCTACCCAAGGGGTAAGTCACTCAGCACATTGTGCCGAAATTAGATTCGGCACAGCTTGGGTACATCCATCGGTACACCTTCGGCACAATCTCGTAGGCATTGGATTGTTGTAAATAAAATGGGAGCACTGCTGGAAAACTGTCATTGAAGTTGTTCACAACATTACGTGCTGTTTGACTGTATATTCAGGAACATCCTCTAATTGAATATACTAGAGGAATTCAGACCAGCAGTTCACTTATAGATCAAAATACGAAATGAAGGTTCTAGAGTGGGCAAAACAAACTACAGAAGTTTATTCATCATCGTCTATAGTCGGTTTCCAACAATGTTCCCCACCGGTTCCAACTCTTTTTGGCCGCTGATTTACCGTTGCTTTCACATCACGAAAGGCTAGGTTTCTGGTCTGCCTTTGAGGGCATTATAAAACCCTAAAACACAGGACTTTTATTATCCTATAAACACAAAACACCAAAATTTCACACATTCGCCACTTCCCGCGTCGTCCTTGCGATTTCAAACCAATGCATTCAACCTGTCAGAAATACTGGGTTGCCGGGATGGGTATTTTAAAAACAATCGCAGCTTGCTCTATGACCGGCACAATCGGCATACTTGCGGCACACTGACAAAAAAAGATTACCCAAGATAGGTGTGCGGAGTGACATACCCCTTGCTGCTACCCGAGTGTGGTTATTTCTGACAGACTACCCAAGTACAGCGTATATAGCCAAAAAGGCGAAATAACGTGTCTATGGTTACTTGGGTCGAAGTTAAATTTTGGCAACCGTGGCTGAGTTCTGTTTGAAAACCGATCGATCGAAAACACCTAGATTTTCGAACATTGAAAATAACTTTCGAGATCTCACTTTTAACCACGAGTTAAATTTTATCTAGTTAGAATAAGAAATCCTCGGAAAAAATCTAATGGGACTGTTCGATTGGCTCAGATTTTGACACTTCATTTGAATCAAAACTTTCTCTCAGCCCATATCTCCCTCTGAGTATTTCTGTTGTAGACTAGACTACCAAAGTAACATTGCAAGTTTTATCGAGGTTTGAAAGCGATCGACAAGTCTAAATCATAGTCTACAGAACCCTCATAAAACCACCATTGTTACTTGGGTAGACTAGAGACTACCCATAATGAATGTTCTAGCATTTAAGTTGTATTCTTTGATTTGGAAGGATAAAATCTGTAACCCCCCTGAAATACCCTGGTATTATTTTTCCTTAATTTAATTTAAGAATGATATTTTGAAAATTAATTACATTGCTTAATATTTCGAACGAAATCTTGCCATCTTGGTGGTCCCGATCGTTGGATTCTTTTTGATAACCATTTCGAGTGAGTCCTGAGAAAAAAAACCTATCTTCTGTTCTGAGAGTTCACTTGACAATTTATTGGTAACATTCGATTCGTCACAGTTAGGGATGATAGTTTTGTGGATTGATGTGGACAATATTTTGTTCAACCAAAACACGTGGTTTGTGGATAGCCCTATAAAGAGATTATCGCTTCAAAGTCGAATTTAGAAATCTCTATGCATAATACAATTTAGAAATAAACTACCTACGGTGAGATCTAACCATTCCCAAGTAACATGTATGGTTTTGTTATGTTCTTCAAGTCCATTATTAGCCTTACAAACCTCTTCAAAGCCATGATAAAACCGAAAATGTTACTTGGGTTGCTACACATTGAAAGTTCTGTTGAAAGATAGAGTTACTAAATGCTCATTTGATTTGATATGTGTTATAGTTCATAACCACTGTATGCACATCCTTGGACACAAATGAACATACATGTGAACATATAAAAAGCGAATTGAATTAATTATAGCATAAAATCTCACATTTTCTTCCCTTTTCCACCGTCTAGGACCTACCCGGTGTACGCAGTCGGTGATTACAGCTCCACCGGCGGACAGCAGTATTACACTACCAGTGGTGCCAGTGGTGGAAATGCCGGCGGTAGCACAGGAACAAACACCGGCGGCACCGGTGGTTCCGGAAGTGGCAATTACAGTGCATCATCCGGCGGCGGCAGTTCACACTCGTCAAGCGGAACTGGTGGTGGCACGAACGGAAATGGCCCATCCGGTGGAGGCGGCGGCGCCGGCGTTGGTGGTGGTGGTGGCGGTGTTAATACAGGAGCAGGCAACGGCACCAGCAATCAACAGTACATTGTTCCGGTAGATGAAGCCACGTTGCTCGGAACGGCGGCCACAAACGGGGCGCACCAGCGTGATTCACCGCAAACCATGACGGTAAGTGACGATCGGAGTTGGAGGTTTATTTTGCGGTTGGCCGCAAAAGCCGCCCGTATGGCTTCGAAACCACCGAAAAGCCCAACCATCATCGGTTGGTCACCGAGCGCATATTATTCTGCTCATCCATGTGGATGAAAGCTATCGATGTCGGTTTGGTGATTGGTAACGGGCTTTTGTTTTATGGCCGGGTTCTTTTTTTTTGTGCTCCGGATTTTCCATTGTTTGTGTCAATTAATTTTACGCCGCCATGATGTGTGTCGCTTGAGAGTTTTCCATTCAACCCACCTGTTCCTTCTGTTTCGTCCGCTCTTCGGCTGGCAGACAAAAAAAAAGTGAATCCCACACGCGCACCCGCATTTAATTAACTCATATTCAGTTCAGTTCATTATTGGTTTCCAAACCGAGAATCTTATTTCTTTTTTCGTTTCCATCGCATCCAATTGAAGTGACATTTTTTTCACATTGAATTCCGACTCTGTTTTCATTTCCATTTAACATCGAAAGTGGTGGATCTACTTTAAAGCTCGTTTCAATTGCTGATCGCTGATTTTAAAGGGGACCATTTCACGCTTCAACTAACTTTTCCATTTCCATTTCTCGCTTCTCTAACACAACTAACTCTGCACGGACGACGGGCACCGGGGGAAAAAGGACGTGGCTTCGTACATACAATCGCACCAGGTGTCGCACCATTCCAACTCGACGACGCCTACACCGGACGTGGATCCGACGCCGAGTCTGAGCCATGCCACCCGCGTCTCTCCAGCGACGGTAAGGAAGCTGCTTTCGTGTATTCGTTTTTCGTAGACTTTTGGTACCTACCTATTTTTTTCCCCCCCGGCGGGTTGGGGGTTTCTTTCAATTGAGTACGACGGATAGTAATTTAGGAAATATTTAGAAGATACTGAGAAGCAAAGCACATGATTGGAAGGACACTTGTGTATGATAATATTTGCGAAAAAATCTACGGCAACCGGTGGGATTTGAACCCATGAATCCCGTTCAGTACATGGGTACCGCTGAATGATACACGAGTAACAAACAAACACGTTAATCGCCGATTGCGCGCGAATAAAAGCTCAATCTTGCAAACAAACTATACCAAATGATAGAGGAGTCATTCCTCTACCTGTTTGTGTTGTTAGTTTTCGAAATTGAGCTTTAATTCGCGAGAAATCGGTGATTAACATGTTTGTTTACAAAAGCAATTACGCCTTAATCTCGAAGTTTTCCGGATGTAACATTCGTCTACCTTCGATCATGTGTGCCTGTACCATTCTAGCTTCTCAGTATCGGTAGATGATAAACAAATACATCTCTATTGGCTTGCGTCAAATATCTCGACACGAGTTGTTCGATACAATTTGACTAAAGCGCCTGAGTGTAGAACTTCTCTCATTCATTCCTCAAATTTAAAACAAGTAGGTATTTTGCCGCCAGCACTAAATTAAAGTAAGTCTGATTACCGACTTCCGAACCTTCTTTGCCGTGTGACAGCAAAGTGACTTTTTCACTTTGTTTCATTTTCACATTCAGTGCATCAAACAGCACCTATTTTGATGCAAAACAATTAGACCAATGTTCATCATTATGAAATTCATTGTAGCAAAGTTTGGTCTACGAAAGTCACTTTGCTGCAAACTGTCGATTTTAAATGTCGTTTTTGCAGCAAAGTGACGTTCGTAGAACAAAATTTCGAACAATTAAGTTCGTTTTATTCCTGACATCTTCTTGCATGAGAATGTCAATTAGGGTTGCCCTAATTACGGACACGGATTTCTTTCCCGGCGATTTACTGAACGCGTACAGCTCTTTACTTAATTAGCATACTAACTCTCCCTTTATTCAGCGTTTCAAACCCTTTTTATACTAAGCTATCCTTGTTTACTAACAATGGGAATTGTCATGTTTTGGGTTCGGGCTTTATCTCCCAGTCTTAAATAGCTGATCGTACAATTATTTGAGTTCGTGATTTTTCTTCCACTCTAAAATAACCGATCGTATAAGTTTTTGAACCGGGAATTCCAAATCACCGGAAAAATACCGTGAATTTTGATGATAAATCGGGAAAAGAAATACTGCGCCCTCTCTTTTAAAAAATAAATAAATTGTGGTCCTTGAAATGTTTCCAAGGCCCTGCATTTTCATGATTTTGACACTTTGAAAAATTAGGACCATTTCAAAAGAAGAATTCTATGAATAACACTTGGGTATCATGATTTGCGACAAGAGAATTTTGACTAGATTTCCAAGGCAATTGTAAAAAGAATTCTAAAGTGATTGTGAGAAGAGCTGCAGGTGCAAATTTAGAAGAATTCTGAGTAGAATTTTGAAGTGCATGCCTGAAGAATTCTTGACAATTGTGAGGAAGATTCCAGGTCCTATTTTAATGAATTCTGGAGAACTTCGAGATTAGGGCGTAATTGCTTTTGTGAGCATACGCTTCATTTGACGATTTCTCGCGAATTAAAGCTCAATCTAAAAAAAACTAACAACACAAACAGGTACAGTGACCCGCAACGAAAAAAATCCACCAGAATGATTATCAAAATGTTTACTCAAACCTAACTATAATTATCATAAAAAAAAAACTTTTTTGTGCTCTAATAATAAATCAGTTATTAAGAAAAAGAATAGAATATATTTTAATGCATTTATTCAAAAATTCACTTTCTATAACGTTTTGAGAGAAAAAATAAAAAAAAAATGATAAGACAAGAAAAAAAATCCATTTTGTAAATCCAACAAAAAAAAAAATCAACACAATATCGATTTGCGACCTTTAGTACCCAGTATGTCCACCATGAGCTTCAAGCACCTTCTGAAGACGTTTTGGCATGCTTTCCACCAAATTCTGCAGATATAGATGGTCAATACTGCTCCAGACTCTAGACAAGGCTGAAAAGTACGTGTCCTTGTTCGTAACACCAGTCTTATCAACCTTATTATCCAGTATTGCCCATAGATTTTCAATAGGGTTCAAATCTGAGCTATGGGCAGGCCACTCCAATGGTTTGATCCGCTTGGATTTGAAGAAAGCCTTCGTTTTTTTGGCAGTATGCTTCGGATCATTATCTTGTTGGAAGATGTAGTCCTTTCCTACTCAAGTTTTTGCCACGGATTCCTGGAGATTATCATTGATGATATCGATGTTGGCATCAGCATTCATTATGCCATTGATCCGTACTAAGTTTCCTACTCTAGCCCATGCGAAACAGCCCCATACCATTATGTTCCCACCGCCGTGTTTTACAGTAGGCTGAAGATGTCGATCCTGTAGGGCTTCATCTGGTTTTCTCCACACTGTCAATCGACGTTTTCGATTGAAGAGCTCAAACTTTGACTCGTCGGTCCACAAGACACGTTTCCAGAAATTCACCGATTTATTGATATACTTTTTGGTGAATTCAAGACGTGCTTTCTTATTCTTGGCATTGATGTACGGCAGCTTTCTTGCGAATTTGCTCTTCAAACCTTGTTCACTGATCCTGCGGCTGATTGTTCGATCGGATATCGAAAGCTGAAGGTTCACCTTGATCGACCTGATCGTTGTTGAAGGGTTTTTCTTTATTTCCCGGATAATCATTGTATCAGTCCGATGATCCGTTTTGCGCACGCCTCCTCTACCTGTTCTATCAGTCACGGATCCGATCTCCTGATATTTCGCCCAAATCTCCTGAACTCCTGAACAGCATTTTTCCGTTGTAATACCTTGTTCTAACAGTCTTTTACCACCAAATTTCGGATGGAAATCGTAATTTGTTTGCCAACCATGATTTTTCGGCGATATTACACTATTTTCCGCGATAAGCAAGTGACGGACGACTTAAAATGGCGGCAAATGACGGGGTGTTGATGTTGACATGTTTCAAAACTAATTCCGAGGGGTTTTTCAATGTTTAATTACAGTTGGGAGTACTTCGCCGATATGGAATCGATTTCTTGTGTCGAATTTACGAAATGGATTTTTTTTTCTTGTCCTATCATTTTTTGTTGATTTTCTTCAAAACGTTACAAAAAAAGTAAATTTTTGAATAAATGAATTAAAACATCTTCTATTCTTCTCTTAAATACCTGATTTATTATTAGAACACATAAAAGTACTTTTTTTGAAAAGTATTTTAGGTTTGAGTATACATTTTGATATTAAGTCAGGTGGATTTTTTTCGTTGCGGGTCACTGTAGATGAATGGTTTCTCTATAATTTGGTATAGTTTGTTCACGAGATTGTTCTTTTATTCGCGAGAAATCAGCGATTGACATGTTTGTCTACAAAAGCAATTACGCCCAAATCTCAAAGTTCTCCGGCATTGCCCAAATAAGTGCTGAGAAGAATTGAGGGTTCCTAGAGAATTCCAAGAGGAACTTTGAGGTTATTGAATTCGGATGATATCTCCTAAATAACTAAATTTTGCAAATAACAAAAAAATTCTTTATAATAGTCCAAAAATTCTCTGCAGAACAATCCAAAATTTTATAGGAATTCTTCGACTAAATGATTCCCCATAGAAAAATTGGTTTGAATTCTCCTTAGAATTTTACATGAAATTCACTTCCGAAATGTATTGGAATTTTGCTCAGAATTGTCTTGGAGTTCTCATCAGAATTTTTCTGCTCAGAGCGCCCTTCGAATTCTGCTTGGAATTTCCGTAAAATTCTCTAAATTTACTAAGAATTTGAAATTTGAAATAATTCCTAGAAAATGTTGTGGACAGTTCTCTGAAGAGGTTTTTACGGAAATTCCGAGAAGAATTCCAAGGGAATTTCGAGAACAATTTCTTGGGAATGATGAGTAGAATTTTAAGATTTTTTTTTTTTAAATTCTGATGAGAACTTCAGTATAACTCTGAGTTAAATTTCAATACATTTCAGAAGTGAATTGCATGCAAATTCTAAGGAGAATTCAAATCAATTTTTCTAAAGAAAATCATTTAGTCGAAGAATATCTTCAAAATTTTTGAATTCCTAGAAATTGTTGGATTGTTCTGCACAGAATTTTAGAACTATTAAAATGAAAATTTCAAGGGGATAGGGGAAATGGATGTAATGTCGGCCTCAATGTCCCTAATTTGGGTCCATACATAAATTTTCAATAACGACCAAAAATATCCATTAGTAAAGACTGGAACGCGCAAAAAATGGTCGACAAAAAAATCGTTTCTTTCAGTCAAAATTTATATCACAAAAATCTTCTTATTTGTCTTTTGGTAGTTCAATTCATATATTTATAGGAAAAAAATGTTCGTTTATTCTTTTGGTGCCAAATCCGAACTGCCGTGCCTTCCGTTTAACCCCTTTCATTGAATTTTGCACAGTGGTCTCATCGACCTTATTCGCCGCCGAACGCCAGTTAGATTTAAACTGCTGCTCCTTTTCCATGGATTTATTAGTTTTTTTGAGATTCCGTTTGACCAAGACCCAATACCGTTCGATAGGGTGAAGTTCTGGGCTTTTGGGAGGGTTGTGGTCTTTGGGTACCACAACCACGTTGTTCGCATCGTACCTCTTCAAGTCCGGCCAGAACAGCACAGGTCTATTGTGTTGCTTAAGGAATTGTAGCGGCCGCTTTTCCAGGCACTCCTGGGCGTAGATCTCTTGATTGATGGTTCACGTAGTAATGAAAATGCCGCTTTTTAGAGCACACGTGCATATGGCCTGCCAGACGAGATATTTTTTCGGGAACTTCGATAGTTTGATGGTTTTGAAAATTTCAGCCACCCTCCCTTTTCCTGATGCGGTATAAAACTCCTGTCCCGGAAGCTGCTTGAAAT